ATAAATTTATATGGGAGGCCGGCCTTAGCTGCTAGGATTTTTCGTGTAGGGAAACCTTAAGGCTTCTTTTTGGAACCCATTGAAGGACCTAGAAACCCACAATCCCTTTTGGGGTTTAGGGTTTACGGTTTTAGCTTTAGGGTAGAAACCCACAAGCCCTTTAAGGAGCCCCAAACCCCTACAGATCCCTGTTAAGGAGGTCTCAGGTACAGGGGACCCTCTACTGAAGAAAGGCTCAGAAGGAACCCAAAGCCTTCATTGGCGGCAGTTAATGTTCTTCAAGTATCCTGCCTGGGAGTTTAGGGTCAAAGGAACCTAATCCCCAAACAATGAATAATAAGACCCTACGACTCAAACCCTAAAGCCTTAAACCCCAAACGCAGAATTCCAAGACTCGGAACGTTCCCCAACGCGCCCAAGCCAGGTATCCCACAAAACCCATGAGCGACTTAACATCGGGGCCTGAAAAATTAGAATTGGGTTTCCCGGTTTAGGCCAGGCTTCTGTCCAAAGCAACTTGTTAGAAAACGAAAAACCCTGCATACCAAACCACAAAAACAACAGGTAAACATGGGTCAAATCGCCAAAACCCGAAACCCTAAACTCTACAAAACCCTGTATGATTTCTTCAAAAAAAGTCGAAGCGGCAAGCCAGCCGGCCACGAGGGGCAGCAAAATCTGGAGCGTTATGGATTTGAGGTTCTATCTGCTGCTTAGGGTTCTTATACCCTAAACCCTAATACGTAAATGCTAAACTCCAAGTTAGACGATTGCAAGCCGGTTAAAAGGTTTTAAGCTCGGGTTCGGAAGGCTGTGGGCCCTGTGGCACCCAACCCTGACTCAGCCTTGAAATCAGAAGGTTAGCAATGTGGAGTTTAGGGTTTAGGGTGTGGTGACGGCATGGGTAATCGCTGGTGTGTGCACACCCAGGCCGCTCGCACTTGTGCGTAGCAGACAGCCCACCCCAAGACCACCCTGAGTTCAAGCATGTCAGGGTTTAGCCAAGTGGGGGCTTTGGTATCGCCGACGATGGTCGTTATCTTCAACAGGGCCCAGGCAGGGCCGAAATAGGAATCATGAATGATAGCCTGCTCAGGCTAGGGCAGGAAAGGCAATCTGAGCGGCGGATAGGTTCATCGAATCCAGCGAGAAGGTACGCCCCAAGCGGAGCCAGGGTGTTTTCTGTGACTCTATTTCCCAACGGGTACCAGAAAAGGCAGTCTGCTTTCCATGAGGCTGTGCCGGTAGTGGTACAAACAGACACAAGCACAAAGTTCAACCCATGTGGGTTTTCTGTAAGGCTGTCCTGGCGGGTGAAGAAAGAATGCAATATGGGCCTGTTGTGAGGCTATGCTGGCGGGAGTTGTGGCCACTATGCCACTATGGACCTTGGATTGCCAGCTTTCTGAAGGGGCACTCCAGGCAGGTTTTCTGAAAGGCTGTCCTGGCGAGTGCCGGAAGAAACAATGTAATATAGGCTTTCTGTGAGGCAGGTACCGGATAAGGCAGTCTGCTTTCTGCGAGGCTGTGTTTCCGGCGGCTGTCACAAACATACAGAAGTATGTTCAGTGCATGTGCGCTTCTGTAAGGCTCGGAAGAAAGAGTGCAATATGGGCTTTCTGTGAGAGTATGCTGGTGGGACCGGTGGCCACTCTGGACCTTGCATTGCCAGCCTTCTGACCTCCATGTAGGCTTTCTGCGAGGCTGTCCTGGTGGGTTCCGATGAACTATGGGCTTTCTGCGAGGCTATGATGGCGGGAATCATGGCCAGACTTTCTGAAAGGCAGTCCTGGCGAGCGCGGCAAAAACAATGTTATATGGGCTTTTTGTGAGGCGGTTGGGGGGGTTGCAACCCTTGTCAAGATGGGGCCAGGGGGCAGCTCCAAGGGTTGGGGGCGCAACCCTTGTCAAGAAAACAAGCCGCTCCAACTCGTGAAGGGCTGGGGGGGCCAACCCTTGTCAAGAAGTGGCTCCAACTCGTGAAGGGTTGGGGGGCGCAACCCTTCGCAAGAAGACGTCTGGGAGCCGCCCAAATGCGGGGACGATACGAAAGCCGCCAGAACGGTCGATGTCGCAATGGCCGCTCCTCTTCCGGAGGCCAAAACCCAAAGCCCCTTGATTTTTGTCAGATTTTCGGTCACTGTTGCCAGCCGATCCAACTCGTGGAGGGTCGGGGGGGTGCAACCCTTGTCAAGAAGGGGCCAACTCCAAGGCGTGAAGGGTTGGGGGGTCCAACGGTCCAACCCTTGTCAAGAAGGGGCCGGCTCCAACTCGTGAAAGGCTGGGGGTGCAACTCTTGTCAAGAGGACAGGCTGCTCCAATTCGTGGAAGGTTTGGGGGGTCCAACCCTTGTCAAAATGACGTCTCGGCAAAGGCTGCTCCAACTCGTGTAGGGTTGGGGAATGCAACCCTTGTCAAAAGGATGTGACGGCAAAATTTACCGGGCTTAGGGTTTCTACCTGTGCCACTCCGTTGGAGGTGCCCGAGGGGCCGGCCGGCATGTTGCCAGTCGCCTAGCTTTACCTGGGCTCCGCGTACGCGTTCTCTGCCGCTCGCGAAGCTCGGACCGCTTGGGGCTCCACGGTGGTCGTTGTCGAGCCCTCAGCGAAGACTTTAGGGTTTAGGGTTTTAGGGCTTCAGGAGTGTAGTGTTGAGGGGTCGCATTGCTAAGGGTTTAAGGCGCATAAACATCGGGGTCCTGCGGTTGGGGAGCTCTAAGCGCACATACAAGGGGGCATTCCAGAACATTTGCTTGTCAAATCCTTTTCCCCAAAACCTTAAACCTTACAAACCCCTCGAAAATCTTTGCAACGTGTCCCTCATGTCGAAACCACCTTTTTTTGTACCAGAAATCAATTACAAAACTCTTGTGTGTGTGGTCTTTTCTGTGCGGCACTCGAGGAAAACAGCACGCCACCGGAGCTCGTTGCCTGACTCACCCGCGAAACTACATGGGTTTGGGCTTATACGGGGTTTAGAGACTCGGGTGTAGGGACGCCGTCTGGAGTCATCATTCTTGAGTAGCCCTTGCACTGGCGTTTCATGCCTGTGCATTGTACATGGACACAAATACAAGACAGGTGTGCAGATTAGGACTATACCGACATACTATAGACATACGCAGACTAAGGGTGTGGATTCCGGGGCGGAGGTACCATATGTACGTATGTGTGTACAGATATACATACATATATATATATATATCAGTATATATGATTTATTTATGTAGATCTTGATTTATTGACATTTTAACAGGTTTGTCTTGAAGGTCTTATTTTCATTGTCTGTCTGTCTCTGTCTCTGTCTGTGTAGAAAAACATACTCTAGACCTAGGTGATGCTTGCATGCTCGGAGTCTGATTGCCTCAAGAGACAGAGCCCAAAGTCTAAACTACATCAAGGCCAGGGTTTGGAGAACTAGAAATCGGAAACCATGAACTCTCCCTAAGGGTCCATGTACCCAAATAGTATATACTTTGGCCTTAATGTAGTCCCTATAGAAGTACTTTAAGGCTAATGTATATACTATTTGGGTACATGGACCCTTAGGGTCTGACTAAACCCTAGAAACCCCTAGGTTAAGCATCGGAGAACTAGAAATCGGAAACCTGAGGTTTAGGGTTTAGGGTTTAGGGTCTAAGTCTTACTAAACCCTAGAAGCCCCTAGGTTAAGCATTGGAGAGCTAGGATGCCTTGGCGGCGACCCCTGCGACGCCGAGCAGTGCCAGGCCGGCACCGAGAAAGTACCTCTAGAAGGCTCCAGGCCGATAAACATAGCCATCATCACAGGGTTTAGGGTTTAGGGTTTAGGGTTTAGTAAGACCCTAAGGGTCCATGTACCCAAATAGTATATACTTTGGCCCCAAAGAACCTATATAGGGATTGCTTTAAGGTCAAAGGAAGGGTCCAGGCCGATGAACATAGCCATCACCATCACCCTAAACCCTAAACCCTAAACCCTAAACCCTAAAGCATCATCATGGTCATCATCATTATCATCATCGTCATTATCGCCATCATCATAGTATCAGCTTCTAACATGTAGACGCAAACACATAATAGTCGTCAGCCGTAAAAGCAACAGTTGAATTGGTACCAGCATTCAAACATCGTTATAATAATCAGTATGGTATAGAAAACTTGTAACAATTCATAGTAGAACCTGGAATTGATGACTAACGGTGATAACAAGATAACGAAAGTGGGCAGCCAAGTCGCCACTTGCGGGAGGTGCGAGCCACCGGCTTGGCCTGCTGACGGACCAGGCCCTCGTACTCCACGGCAGCATCGCGGGAAGTTGGGGATGCCATGGCTGTCAAGGTAGGTCTGAAAAGTGCGCGATAGGAGCGTTGAGGCTGCGAAGGCTCTTCGAGTTGTACGGCAAGCCGGCATGCGCAGAAGACTTCAGAAAGAAGACTTGCAATTCCCCAACTTCGAGATTGAATTTTCGGCACGGCTAACCTTAAATGCACAAAGCCCGGTGATCTTAGCAGCATCTGACGAGCGGTCTGGGGGTCCCCGGTCTCTGGATATGATGAGACCGCTTGGTGATGTAACGCTCTGGGGAACCATGAGGACACTGGGTTTAAGGGTTGAGGGTTGAGGTTATTTGGGTTTAAGGGTTTAGGTGTTTGGGGTTTCGGGTTCGGGTTTAGGGTTTAGGGGCACTCCGAAGCCTACAGATTGAATGCCTTAAACGTCCTAACCTTGTTGCCGAGCTCCTGGCCCCCCGAAACAAAGTTACCCTATTGATTTTTGGGACTTTGCAACACCCACCAAGCACATAAGCAAGAATTGCGGCTGATGATAAAAATCCTGCATTACCCATAATAAGACATATACCATAATTCCAACAGTTTAGGGTTCTTAGGGCAATGCAGGATTTATATCATCAACAGTAGGACAGGGCTTTAGGTCCTTCTTGGGTCCCCATGTTTAGTTTAGGCCCTGACCGGCCCTAAACCCTAAACCCTAAACCGCATGTTTAGTTTAGGCCCTGACTGGCCGGAAGCGCTGGAAGAGGAAGCGATGGCGGCTGACGATACGCAGGCCAGCCCCACTGGTGATCCAGACCGGGTACCTAATTTAGGGTTTCGGGCTTGGGGTCTCATAAAGGCTTCCTTTAAAAAGGTTTAGGGTTTTGGGGCTTTGGGGTTTAAGGTTTAGGGTTTCCTTTCACATCTTCAAGAGGTTTAGGGTTAAGGGCTGCGGAGCTGGAAAGGTTCTCGAGTCACTCGAGGTTCAGGGTTTTTTTGGTGTTTAGGGATTTGGGGAGGTTTTTTAAGGGCTCTATGAGGCTGCTATAAGGGTCGACCGGGGGACTGGAAGAGTTCCTTAGAGATCTAGATATGTCAGTGTGTGTGTATATACATATACGGTCCTTACGCATATTTTAGAGGACGTGAGGCTGTACTCCAGACGGGATGCCTTCCGTTGGAGTGTAGATAATGTAGGAACCATAATAATTAGAATAGGGCTTGGGAGGTCCTTTATAGCATAATTATAACAAGCCATCCCTAAAGCCCAAACCCAAAACCGTAAACCTTAAACCCACAACCCAAAACGCAAGATTATACAGGTAACTATGGAGGCCCCTTTTTTTAGGTGCAAGGCTGTTTCAAGCTCCTGTAGTCCTCGAGCCCGAATCCGCCCCAAAACCCTACAAGTTCTCGAGGGTTTAGGGTTTCACGTTTTAGGGTTTAGGGCTTAGAGTTTAGAGTTTAGGGTTTAAGTTTTAGGGTTCAGGGTTTGGGGCTTGCTTAGCTTAAGGCACGTTTGTGGATGTAAGTCTGCGGACTTTGGGAGTCTAAGCCCTAAACCCTTAACCCCTAAACCCTCAACTCACCCCTAAACCCTAAACCCTAGAGCCTAAACCCCTAAACCCTGAACCCCAAACCCTAGGAGCCTTGTTGGGACTTCCGAGCTTCAGGCTTGCGGACCACAGTCGTGCATGGATTTTGGGGGTTTAGGGTTTAGGGTTTTAGGGTTTAGGGTTTTAGGGTTCAGGGTTTAGGGCTTTAGGGTTTAGGAGGTTTAGGGTTTAGAGGTTTAGGGTTTAGAGGTTTAGGGTTGAAGGGTTTAGGGCTTAGACGGCTTTAGGGGACCACTTCTGGATGTTTCTGGATGTAGAGGTTTAGTGATTTCATACTCACTCACAGTGTTTTCCTTCCCCCGTACTTGGGGACATAAGCAGAATCCCAAACTGCAGAAGTACGTATGTTGACGGGTCTCGAATTGGGCCAGGGTTTTCACTGAAGGCCGAGAGTTCGACCAAGAGCCCTTGCAAGCCCCTCTAGAATCTGGGGTCTTCTAGAACCCCTTATAGCAAAGCCAAAAGTTGAAACATCATGATCCCCATGCCCCTGAAAGGTACAGAAAAGGGAAATCCCAGCATTCATCATCCGCAATCCATGTTCCAACTTTCTGAGTTCAGTGCATTTAAAACCCTACACCCCGAACCACTTAAACCCGGTCTGGGAAGCTTAGGGTTTAGGGTTTAGGTCTTAACTTTGAGAAAGTGGGCGCGTCAAGGCTCTCAGCCGCAGTCAGGGAGAAATGACCCATTCATCCCAAAACCCTAAACCTTAAATCCTTAAACCCAAAACCTAAAGAACTCTAAACCTCAAACCCCAATCCAACAAAACTGAACCCCAAACCCTAAACCCCCAAAAAAAACCTAAACCCTAAACCCTAAACCCAAAAAAGCCTAAACCCTAAGTCAAAGCCGATGCGCATGATCACCGCGTAAGCCGCCCAGGAGAGGATGGCCATGGGATAGCAGATGAACCTAGAGCTTCTTACATACGTACATAGCGTTTAAGGTTTAGGGCTTAGGGTTTGGATAAATTAGACTAGACTAGACTAGACTAGACTAGAACAGAATATAATAGAATAGAACAGAATAGAGTAGCATAGAACAGATAGATAGACAAATCGATGGATAGACAGATCGATCGATAGATAGAGAGAGAGCGCTTCCTTACAGGGTTCCTAGAAGAGTTTCTTGCAAGGCTTGCTTAAAGTGTTTAGCGTTTTAGGGTTTAGGGTTTCGAGTTTGTGCAAGGGGCTTCCTTTAAAGGGCTGAGGGTTTAGAGTTTCTGTAAAGCTTCCGAAGCTTAATCCCAAACCCCAAAGCAAGCCTGAAAGCTTTAACATCCAAGCCCCAAAACCCTCAAACACCACTCAAAAAAACACAAACCCTCGGAAGCCAACACAAAAGAAAGAAGAAAAGGCCTCAAACCCTGAACCCTAAAACCCAAAGACCTGAAGCAACAAAACACTGCGCATCACCTCAGACTTAAGCTTTTGGTTGCAGGCTGAGAACTGAGAGACTGGGCTTAGGACCTCATGTTTAGGGGTTTAGGGTCTTAGGTTTTAGGGTTCAGAGGGTTCAGAGGGTTTAGGGTTTAGGGTTTAGGGGTGTAGGGCTTAGGGTTCTGAGTTTAGGCTTTAGAGCTTACGGCCTCGGGTCTGGTGTATCCTTCAATTTCGCGAGCTCGTTTGTCTTGAATCTGTCAGGTCTACATATGAGGAAACCCACCAGCTAGACATCTGAAGGCACCAGCTAAGGGGGTTTCCGAAACTAGGGGACCCCAATATAGTACCCTAAATAATAGGATCCTTATTATAAGGACCCCAAAATAAGGTACCCCCTATTTTTGGAAAGTCCCAACTGGCTTCGTTTCGGGTTTAGGGTTTAAGCGACAAAAACGAAGGGGTCAAACCCGCGGCAGCGAACCAATTCCGACCCAAGACGAGCCTTAACATGCCCAAAGCCGAAGGCAGCGGCCAGCACGAACCCCTTCTCGAACCCCAAACCCTTAAACCAGAATCCTCATTCTAACACAAGTCTTGTTTCAAGCCATGTGCGACGTGCGCGGCTTCATGAACTGTAGCTCCAGATTATGCGAGGTCTACCCATTTATCTGTTTATGTACTGATTATAGTCGGTATATCTTCTATACTTTTTCATATCGGTTACTTTATAGGTCATAAATTATTACAAGAGCCGTCTTCCTGCCAACCGAACCTATGTGCCAGCCTTGCTCAAGACCATGGACGTGGAACAACCCAAAGGCATACGTATCATCTTTACAGTGTTTGGTGCACGAAGCATAGTGTATGGTGTATCATGCATAGTGCATAGTGGATAGTCTGCAAATGTATATTTGGTATAGGGTATATGGTACGTGATAAATAGCAAATAGTATATAGTGTACTGTACATAGTATAGTAGCGTAGGAGAGTATAGTAAAGCATACTATCCGGGATTGGGGAGCTTTACAGTTCATCAGGTTGCCATCCGTCTGGGCCCTGACACTGCCTGGCCGCACGCATGTCCTTTACGCTGCGTCTCCAGCCACCCTTCATTGGACCTGCCACTCTCCCAGATTTTGTGCCAGAAGAAGTCGGCAAAGCACGACCGTAGCAAACAACTTTCCACCTGCCCTCAATGACTTGCCACAAGGTGTGGGGCAGAGGTTGCCACTTCATCTCAAGCCAGGCCCTTCATGCGTTGCCATGGGGGACCCCCAGGAGTTTAGGCCTAAACCCTAAACCCTAAACCCTAAAACCTAAACAGTCTAAGGTTGCAGGTCGGATTTCCGGAGCTTTGGGCTTAGGGCCATGGCGGCCAATGAATATGAACGTCTAATGTATTAAAAGCCCAGCCTGTGGATTATTTGCAGGAACTCTTCTGCTTCTAGAAGCATTATTGTTGTTGCTGTTGCTATTGCCACTGTTAGTCATCCTTCCTAATTATTAGTAACATTGCTATTTTACCATGGCCATGACTATTGTGTTTATTACGGGTAGTAGCAGTAGCGGTAGTAGTAGTAGTAGTAGTAGTAGTAGTAGAAGCAGTTAGTAGTAGTTAGTAGTAGTTAGTAGTAGTTAGTAATAGTTAGTAGTAGGTAGAGGTAGTAGTAGTAGTAGTAGTAGTAGTCGTAGTAGTAGTAGTAGTAGTAGTAGTAGTAGTAGTTAAGCGGTAATTAAATAGTAGGGGTAGTAGGAGTAGTGGTGGTGGTGGTGGTGGTATTCTCCTTCTTCTAATGATACTTGCTCCTTCTTCTAGCATTCCGACTATTGTTTGAACCCAGGCTCGGACCCTAAACCCTAAACCGTAAACCGTAAACCCTAAACCCTGAACCCTAACGCGTTACATTCTTGTGGACAGCCCTCAGCCCGAGAGGCGATGCTCCCGAGGCCGAATATCGAAAGCGGCCATTCGAAAGGATCCAAGGTTCACCTGAACTCTATAAAAACCTAACTTTCTAGGGTTCCCTACTATGAACTTCTCATCTAAGCCTGAACTCTATAAAAACCTAACTTTCTAGGGTTCCCTACGATGAACTTCTCATCTAAGCCCTCAATAGGATCAAGAAACTTGAAACCGCAAGCCCTAAACTCAAACTGAGGTGGGGTTGAGCGCCAGGGGGCCCGAAGCAGGAGAGCCCCAGCATGGCCCAGTGCTCCGGGGAATCAAAACAGATAATCGCCGGATTGGAGGACAGCGACCTCAGCTTTAGGGTTCAGGGTTTAGGGCTCAGGGGTCAGGGGTTTAGGGGTTTAGGGTTTAGGGTCAGGGTGTTAGGCGTTCAAAAACTGCTGGATCGTTGTCGGGTCTTGGGGGCTTGGTGGTTTAGGGTTTAGGGTTGAGGGTTTTTTTGTGGTTTAGGGTTTAGGGTTTAGGGATAGCTACGAGAAGGGTTCAGGGTTTAGGGGTCCGTATAATTAGAATAAGGCTTTTGGGGCATGTTATACTGTAACTGTAATGAGGAGCCCCCAAAATGATTAGAGTAGGGTTTTGGGGCTCCTTTATAGTATAGTTTTAAATCGGAACCCTAACGAATCGCATTGTTTAATTAGGCTTCTGTAGTATACAAATAGCTTGGGGTCGGGGCCAACGGCCAAGGGCTTGGGTTTTAGGGTTTTTCCTTATTCAACTACCATAACCTACGTTTTTGTAGGTTCTCATTTTCAACCCTGATATAGAATCTACAACGGCCCTACAAACAAGTTGGTTTTGGTAGGTTTAGAGTTTGGGTTTAGGCGGTGAGCCGCTGCTGCACCACGCCCAAACTAACCATGATTACGGCTGTACGGTCGTTTACTGGGTTCTTGTTAAGGAACTTAGTTGAAGCTACTAGAATAGGGAGTTGCAGTTAAAAAAAATTCCTGAGTTGGTGAACTTAGGTTAATATCCATAACACGAACCCTGAACCCTAAACGTGCTTGCCCGGCCCGGCTTGGTCCGCTGCTGCTGCAGCAGGGTACAAATCTGCGGCCGACGTTCTCCATGCAGAGCGCATGTATGCAATCACAGCATGTTCAGCGAGTAAGTGCTCCGTCTGGTTCTTTGCCTTTGGCCAGCTCGGAGCAGTGGTCGCAACACCGCATGGTCAGCCTACCCCTACAACCTAAGCCCTAAAACCCTAAACCCCCACTCACACTCAAACTCGGTGGTGCTGGCTGGCTGCCACAAGGCATTCTTGAACGCTGGCACAGGTTGAAGCAAGGGCAAAGTCGGGGAACGGAAAAGGCTTGACCTCCTGGCCCCAGCGCAGGCTTAGGACAGGCAAGATGCCTCCGAGCAAAGATCTGTTCAGGGGTTTAGGGTTTTTGAATATACCTTAAATTATAAGGGGCTTCATATGATGGTTTGAGCTATATTCCTTAATTAAGGTTTAGCAGCTTTAGTGAGAGGGCCTATGGGTTATGAGGCGAAAAACGGTACTTCTCTGAAGGCCTCAACTTCACGAGGATTGCGGAAGGGTTGAGGGTTTGTTCATGGCCCCGGTATTGAAGACCAATGTTGCAGCTTTCATAGTCAGAGTAGGGCTCTTTCAGTATACTGTAGCATATCTACCACATGAGCAGTTCTCTCAATTAGGGTCCCTTTTTAGGTCCCCAATATAGTACGGCACCCTTATCAAAAAGGACCCTAAAAGGGACCCTACTTCAGAGAACTACCCACATGGAAAATCGAACCCTAAGGAATATGTATTGGCTACTATTCCGACCCTAAAGATCCCTTTCAAGGAGCTCTAGGAACCCTAAGGAAGTATGTTAGTAACTAGGGGTTTAGGGTTTAGGGTTTATGTTCGTAACTCTTTGCGGACATCTTAGAGGAAGTGAGCGGGAGGCATAGTCGAGGAGCATGAAAAGACGGATTTTATGGCTCCTGCGGGAAGGGTACTCTCAGGTTGCTATAAGGGTACTATAAGCTTAGTAATCAGAAGGCTACGATAATATGGACAGACTGGAGTTGGACGAGCTTGGACAGTGTGATAGGTTTATACATATACACACATACATGCATATCACCCGGGCCTAGACGAGGACTATATTGCCAATTGTGGTTACGCGTGGGTCAGCTTTTGAGGATGTAGGGTCGCAGGGTTTAGGACTTAGGGTATATGTCTATATGTCCGAGGGGTCTAAATGTGTAGGACTCATGGGCGTAAGATGAAGACCTCCGTCCTAAGATTTCCGTCTGGAAACGAAGCCCCAAATGCTGAACCCCAAAAAGACGCGGGAATCAGGGTTTAATATAGAGGCTATTAATATGTAGAATCGGGTTTTGGGGCCCCCTGTACTATACCTATAATAAGGAACCCCCAACATAGAGGTAATTTGTGAGGCCCCTACATTCGGGTTTAGGATCTGCCATCTTATCAATCTACCGTATCTCAAGGAATACAAATCGAACCTTAGTATTGAGGCTTCAGAGAACATCGGCTTAGATTATATGATCCATACAGGAAGCTGTGTTTACCTTGTGTTTACCTTGACAAAAATATGTATGCATATATATATATATATCCAACTGAGATATTGCGGGAGCTTTGGGTGACACCAAGCCATCGACCAAGTTCCATCTGGATTTGGCTGGCACTTGAACCTTGGTGTGCTACATTACGATGTCGGGTTATGGGTACACTTTGGGGTCCCTAAACCCTAAACCCTCTCTAAGCCCTAAACCCTTTATTTATCTGTAATTCGACAACCCGAAGCCCCAAACCCGATGCTCGGCTCTGAAACATGACCCATATCACCAACCGAGAGGCCTAACGTATTCATACGATAGCATACCTAATTCCATGCTCATTGCCAAAAACCCTATAATATAACAAATAAGAACCCTGAACCCTGAAATTGAGCCTGAAGGTGCCAAAGCCCACAATCATGAGGTTGGGTTTCAGTGAGTTTATAGCCTTAGGAATTGAACGTTTAGGGTCTAGGGGCTTAAAGTTGAAGGTGACTGCTTTTTTGAAGGGGTTTAGGGTTAGGGTCTAGGGCTTAAAACCCTAAATCCTAAACCCTAGACCTTCAGGCCTTTAGGGCGTGGGGGTTAGGGCTTAGGGCGTAGGGTTTAGTCTAAGTTTGAAACCATGGCCCCTAGTATGGGCGCTTAAGCCTGGGATCCTTATATATCTACTATATACCCTATATGTACCCTTAAGGGTCCCTAGAATCCTAAGGGCCCATATCAGGAGCCCATACTTCTAACCTTAGATTTAGGTTTTCGAGTGTTGGAGAAATATAGGCGCAGTACAAGTCTCATGAGTAGATCCTGAAATCGAAAGGATGAACTGACGAAGGCGATCCTACAGCAGCCGAATGGGGTGGGTGGGTTTAGGGTGCTCGGGCTGAAAATTATGAAGACGAGCTAGAGCCAACACATAAAAACACTATGAACAAGCAATGAAATACAAAAGCAGTAACACGATGGAACAAGCTACAACAACAGTATTTCGAAGCAGACCTTTTCCCATACACCCTAAATCCTAAACTTATTTTAGTCGGGTTTCGGCTCGACTACCGTCATCGTCAGGCCGATGAAGAGCGCAAAGAAAGCCATCCCGCAGAGATTGAACCTTACTACACGAGGGCTGAGGACCCAGACCACGGTCTAGGGTGTAGGGTTGAGGATTTGGGGCTCAGAGCTTCGGGCTTAGGGATTGCCTGGCGTTTAGGATCTATGCGGCAGAGGTTCAACCTTGGGGCAAACAGCTTCATGTAATGGCTTAGGGCTTGAGTGTTCCAAGGATTGTTGATGAAATTTTGACGCGAGTTCGCTCTTGAAGGATTTGGGCAGGGTTCTAGCTACAGCGTGGTACAGCAAGGTCTGAGCATGTCCGACATGAGAAATTCGCCTTACATCAGACAAATATCGGGGCCTTTATAATTAGAATGGGGTTTCGGGGCCCCTTATACTTTGATTATAATAGGGAACCCCAACATAATATATGTAATTATTAAGGCCCCTACATTAGGGATCCAAATCTAAACTCTAGCGGGATGGACAGGATTTTCGGACAGGTCCTGATAGACCCTGAACTACGATGGTTTGGAAGATCGTGGAAGAAATGGTTTTGGCAGTTACCAAAGAGTAAGACCCTTCGCAACCTGAGAGGGAGACACGCGTATGGCCGCACTTGCCAATTCCCGTAAGTTCCTTGATGGCGGAGGGGTTACGGTAGCCCTCAACCCTAAGTTCTAAACCCTGAAACGCTGCCTTCAAGCACATTCTGTCCCTCTTCTTCTGCTGGTTCATGAGACTTAGTATAGTAAGTTTAGGGCTGCTTTAACGGTTTCTTTAACAGGTTTGAGGTCTAGTTAAAGATTCATGGGAGTTAGTGTAGTAACTAGGGTTCTAAGTAGGGTAACTATACTTATAACTAGCTATAGTCCCAGTTCAGGTACTTACTACCTTAGTTACTTAGTCCCGCCAGCTACACGATGGCCTGTGGCATGGTTCTGGTGAGAAGCAGTGCTGTGATACATGCACGATTGGCTAATCTGTTTAAACGCTCTGCCAAGCAGCATGGCATCAAAGGATGAATGTTTGCCCCGCCTCAGTGGGCGCAGCAAGTGCGAATATGAAGTGCATCCTCATGATCAAGGTTTAACCCGCAAGGCTTCCTCTCTGGATTCGCCTTAGGCTTCCCTTCGAGGCTTCTTCCAAAGGCTTTTTTTGGCTACTTCGACAGCTCGTGTTCAGCTGGTAAGCAGGGCATCCTGCAGACTCTGTTGCGCATGCGCCAGGTCTGTACTTTATGGCGTAAAGCTTTAAAAGTGAGGGTGCAGGGGTCAAAACGCAAAACCCCGAACCGCAACATGCATGACTCGCCTTTGACCTGTGGTGCGCGCATCCAGTCTTCACTCCATGTCGAAAGAACCAAGAGACTTTGGGGCCTGTCGGTATCGTTTATTTTAACACATGCACACACACACACATGTAAATATAGGTATGCAGGAAAGAACAAAGGCGTGGATGTGTGTGTCGGTGTGCAAGTTTTAAGAAAATCAGCCAGTAGATAATTAAGTAAGTAGAGAAGTAAGCGAGCGCGCTTGTCTGTTTGTCCCTCCCTCCCTCCCTCCCTCTGTATGTATTTTTGTTTTCGTTCGTGTTTCTAATTATTTATGCATGTATGTACGGATAGATGCCTGCCTGCGTGGCTGGCTGGCTGACTGTCTGCGTGCACATATGCATGTATGCCTGCCCGCATGTATGTACATACAGAGTCTGAAGATCGCTGCGTCTGGAAGACAGAGTCTGAAGTTGTGATGTGCAAGAACATGCACGCGAGACATAAGGAAGATGGCATCCATTTTGAGCGGATATGGGTGATGGTGTTGATGATTGTGAGGATGCAGATGCAAGTACAGATGATGATAGTGACCGCGATGGTGATCGTGACGGTGATGGTGCTGGTGATGATGATGATCACCATGACAATGGCAAGGGTAGTGATGATGATGACGATGATGACGAAGATGGTGATGGCCAATGCGATGATGATGATGATGATCATCATCATCATGATATATGGTCATGGTAATGATGTTGGAGATGAAGATGAAGATGAAGATGATGATGATGATGATGATGATGATGATGGCGATGATAATGATGCTGACGAGTTGAACAAGAAAATGAAGGTGTTTCGTTTCTAGCAACCTCCAACATCATTGAAACAAGAAGTCGTAACTCAAAGCACTCGACCCTAAGATCTGCAGCAACTTGCAAAAAAAATCCCTTGAGATCAGGCGAGCGGCAGCTTCGCAACCAGCCCGGCTCCTAGTGACTTTAGGGTTTAGGGTTTAGGGTTACGATCTGGGTTTCGTGCTAGGCGCGCCTTTGCGGTTTTAAGGCGTTCAGCTACAGTAGTCGGCTCGAACTCTGCAGACGTTTGGGGGTTTAAAAAAGTGTAAAGGGGATTATGTGGGAGGCGTTCTTGCTACTGCTTGGGTCTCGGTTTAGGGTTGGGGTTTGAACCCTAAACCCTAGACCCTAAAACCCAAAACCCTAAGCCCGGCTCTACTTCGTGACAAGAAGATACGCCGAAATGCAGAGTCGTCGAAGCGCTAAGGCTCGGTAGCGATACCGCCAAATCCGTAGCCACATATAAAACTAGAACTTAGAGCTACTAGAGCTTAGAGTTTAGGTAAGGCCGACGCAGAAACAGCGAGAGGTCCACAACTTTCAGGGCTCGGAGTAGCAAACGTGGAGATCAAATCTGCTAAATTGCTGGAGGGCTTTGGGCTTGCTCCACGGTTCCAAGGCTGGCAGTTCACAGCTGAGGCTTTTAGGATGTGAGTAGTTGTCTAAATTAGGGTCCCTGTTGGGGTCCTTTTTATAAGGGTGCCGTACTATATTAGGCACCGAAAAAGGACCCCAATTTAGGAAACTACCCATGTAGAGGGCTTCTAGGTCTCTGCACTTCGGGTTCCGCACCAAGTACGATTAACACTTCGCGGCGCACGTTAGAAGTACTACTAAACCCGAAACCCTAAACCCTAAACCCTAAAGTACCATCTGCGGGATTGCGATGACGGCGAAAGCCTCTCCTGCCCCCCCCAAATCCAGAAATCTCAAGCCTAAACCCTACCTGGACACCAAATGACCCACCTTTTAGGCTTCCTTATTCCGAAAATCGTAAGAGCTTCAAAAGGTACGGGTTGAGGAAATATCCAAAACCAAATTCCTACGTTGCCGAAGCACCAGCGGCCGCAAGAACTGAACTGAAAGACAGGCTCCAGGATTTAGGGTTTAGCGTTTAGGGCTCAGGGCTTGTGGGTCTAGAGGGCTTACCTGTAGCCGGAAAGACCAACCTTTTTAAGGAACTATATAAAGAAACCGTAATAAGGAACCGTAAAATCGAAGGTTTTTTCGGCTACAGGTAGGGTTTAGGGTCTACCGAGTTTGGGGGTGCGAAACTCTAAAACTGAAGCCCCCCAAGGCTTTGGGGCGGTTTGGGCTGGGATTCCCTACCCCTGCTTGTTTGCTCTGGGGGTGGCAGCCGGTTTAGGGTTTAGGGTATGTTATATTCTAGTGTTATAGGGAGCTGGAAGGACGTTGGACTTCTACTTATCTACAGTTGAGCGTGGATGTATGGTTCTGTGCGCACCTCAGGCCCTAAACCCCTAACTCCTAAAGCTATTATAAACAAGCTATAAACCCTGAACCCCAAAACCCTAAACCCAAACCCCCAAAACCGTGATGCAAGGGCCCAAGTCTCCTCGTCATAATTGCAGTATAAGATGCACCAACACCCTCTTCGAATGTTTCAGGCCCTCATGCTATATCCCTAAGGTACTCCTTCTGAAATCCTTATATAAAGCCCTTTGAAGGAAACCGTTTAACGGAACCCTACTCTAAATACCAATATACTAAACCCTTAACCTTAAACCCTAAGCTCTTAAACCCCTAAACCATCTTCTAACTACGAAGACCCCTTTCTCAAACTCTTAACGACTATAGTCTGGGATACGCGAAAGACCCTATTCTAGTTATTAAGGCCCCTATAAACCCTACACCCTCAGAGCCCTAAACCCTAAACCCCTAAACCCTACACCCTGAACCCTACAGCCTAAACCCTAAACCCCTCAACCCTAAACCCTACACCCTAAAACCCTAAAATCCTAAACCCCAAAATCCTAAACCTCTCAACCCTACACCCTGAACATTAAACCACACCCTAAATCCTGAACCCTAAACCCTAAACACTGAACCCCTAAACCCCTCAACCCTAAACACTAAACCCCTCAACCCTAAACCCTAAACCCTAAACACTACACCCCTCAACCCTAAACCCCCAAACCCCTAAACCCCTGAACCCTAAACCCCTAAACCCTACAGCCTAAACCCTAAACCCCCAAACCCCTAAACCCCTAAACCCCTAAACCCCTAAACCCCTAAACCCCTAAACCCTAAACCCCTCAACCCTAAACCCTAGACCCCTCAACACTCAACCCTAAACCGTA